GGCGAGTGCGCCATTCACGATCGAGCGCAGAGTCACGTCGTGGTCGTTGATGCGCTCGGCCGCGCCTCGCAGGAGCGTCACATTGGGCTGGAGTGCCTTGTCGAGCGGGATGAAGAGTTTAGGGACGTACGACTTGTCGACAAGTGCGCGAGGAATTCCCACGGCGTGAAACGTAAAGCTTTGTTTCTCGATCACCGTGATCTTGACGGCAGACGAGACCTTGGACGCGAGCGCTTGGGCAAACTGGATGCCGGCGGGACCGCCTCCAATGACGACAACGTGGGGTTGCTGGACCATGGTGGTAGTGTTGTTAAGCTGGACGATTTGGAAATGGATCGCAGAATCAAAGACGACATGGTTGGCGCCATTTTGTTGGTGATGATGGGCATCCGGCGTGGCCACTGTGGTGATGTTGTCAATGCATGACAGCCATCATCGGCACATGATTGGCTACATTACAGCAAATCAGAGGCGATTTAGTTGGATCCACTTCATGGATTGGCTGAAATGGAGGTTGTACCGTTACACTCCCGATCGAGTGACTTCGTGGGACGCATCGGTTGACGTCGGCGCTGGCATGTGGGACACCGGGGAAACAACTTCTGCGGCGCATACATACACCCATGCAGATCTTGGAGCCTGGTGGCCTAAAATTTTCTCCGTTGAACTGCCCTGTCTCTGAAGTCAGAGGTGCAGCTAAAAAACTCTTATTTGGCTACAATTCTTCGCAACCAAAATTGGACAAGTTTCATGAGCGTCTACGGTGAACTCTTCCAGGGAGCTGTTTTGGACGCTGTCACCACGTCGGGCCCTGCGGGTCACGCATGGTTGAACGCCACGGCCCACTGCTCGTCGTCTCTCCAAGACGAAGCTGCGTATTGGTGATCATTTGGCGTGACGTACTTTCGGCTGCAGTGGCAAAACATCGCGTTCACAGGCCTCCAATCGACGCTGATGGTGGTGAATCCGCTCAACCTTGCGTCGACACTCGAATTGCTTCACTCGACATACACACGCGGGCCGTGGAGTCGAATATTTTCAATGTCTTCTTCATGAACGACATCTTCTTCATGGCTACGTGCGGTCAAAGCCTCGTGCGTGGCGCCACAAATTACTACGGCCTTGCGAAATGTGTCTACTCGACAACACCGAGTTTGGAGGCTTCCTGGGTCTCAGCGACGCCGATGGACATTTTGTCCATCAAACGGGTCTCGTGCGCGATGCGATTGGTCCGTTCTTGTCCGCGGATCTTTTTTGTTGTGGCGCCGCCGCCGCCACTCATCACTGCGATCGCCGCCTTTGAACAGCGTTTGTATACATTGCTCGAAGCCAACAGCAGTGCTGCAAGCGCGTACCAGCAACTCTCTCGGTGCCGCCGACGCCAACGTGGTGGCAGAATGGCTCGTTTCTCTTGTATGGGGGTAACCCCATGTGCCTCTACAACGCTCCAACGTCATTTCCGCAGCCGTTCTTTACCTTTGGTGACGCATGCAATAGTCATGAGCGTACAATAATGGTGTTCACGCCATCCGCGTTGGTGTTTGCCGTGAGCATGAATCGGATATCTGCCTGTGAGCTATGTTTTCCATTGTGCCGGCGATATGGCTCGACGTGGGTTTTTCCACGGCGGGGGCTCCTTTCTCTGCCCTGTGTCGTCGTTGCAAAGTTCAAGTACAATTTCTGTCGGGTTATTGCGTCTCTTCTTGTTTGAGAGCACGTGTTCGGGAGGAGCATTGTCGGCCTCGTACGCACAAACACCAGGGCCACTGGTATTTGCATCGCGTTTGCGGGGTTATCGCCGACGACCAACCTCACGTCGCTCTGCCGCCAAGTGCCCGGCGCCGTCGACGACTGCAAAGCCGTGCTGCGCGACGTTGTTGATTTATCGTCAACGCTTCCACTCGAGTCCAATGCGACATTGACGTCAACTGCGCACGCCGCACTATCGGCACTCAACATTCAAATCATGCAGTATGGCACGAACGTCGCTGCTCCAGAATCCATACTGACCATGTACACTTCGCCGCTGCTCCACGATGAATTCAGCTCTTTTGGGTACACGTTTGTCCACGACTTGATCTTGCCAGCGCGACGTCGTCTCCTTCACTGATGACGTGGTGACACTGACTGTTAGGCTGCTTGCTGAAAGGCAAATTGAAAACTGAATTACCAAGCACTTAAAGACCTTGTCTTGGGACGACTGGATGAGGGCGTCTGGGACGAGGGCAGCTAGCTGGAGGCATCGAGAGGTTTCTAGAAGCCTTGCTAGCCGGCTTGGCGTCGGCATCACCAAAAGGGGCGTAAGCACGCCCTGGCGATGACGTCACCACGACACCTGTGTTATGTGTCGTGACACTGACATTGCTCTCGGATCTCGTGCTACAAAAAGTGGAACCTGTTCAAAGCGCCGAGCTGCCCACGGCGTACGCTCTCTACGCCTTTGCTGTCGTCCAGTACGTCGCGCTGACGATCGCGTCGCTCGCGGGACTCACTGGCGTCTACATCCTGGCCAGTCGTGGCCACATTGACGGTCGAAACACGCTCAAACTCAGCCGTGTCGGCGGGATTGTCTGGGTCGGTCGTCCGCTCTTGCTGGTGCGCAGCTTTACAGCGCTCTGCCTCCTCTCGACGGCCACCCTCTCGCTCGAGAGGACTGGTTATGTGATGTACTTTAAATCCGAAGTGCCGGCCACCTTGTCGACGTGCTTGGCGGCGAGCGAGGTCACGTGGCTGGCGAGCACGGTGATCGACATCGGATTGCCTCTCACGCAAGAACACTCGGCCCGCTACGTGACGCTCCAGTCTCTGCTCGTTTTGGCGATTGCAGCATCGATGAGCTCGCTTCAACCGGTGGCCTACGCGGCCCAGATGGATCTGCAATGTGCGCCGACCGCGTTGGACTATCAAGTGACGTGTTCGACCGCCAGAATTGCAATCGGGTCGTACGACCGACTCGTCATTCGTCTTGAGACGGTGTTGCTGACGCAGGCGCCAAATGTCTCTTCAAGCACGACAAGTGATTCTATCGTGATGGCTACTACATGGACCGAGCTTCCGCGCTCGTAACAATACATGCGCGCAGTCAGCGCTTGCTTTTCGATGTGAAATCCTGGCGCCTCTACGCGGTGCAGCTCGAAATCGATCATATTCCTACCCGGTTGGCGTCGGGCGTACCGCTCCACGACGCATCGACCGCTACCTTCCGAGCCATTGCCCACTTCTATGCAAAGCATCCGCAAGGACTGGGCCATCTCCGACCGCTCTACCCATGACCCTCGATCGCGCTTGAAACCCAACACAAAAGACATCCCATGGCTCACCACATGCAGTTGCCACTTGGAATGATACGTTCATATATATGTTTCAAACGACAGAGTGTATGGAGACCAGTTTCCAGCGAAAGCGCCTACGACGGCACCGATGCGTTCCATGTGCCCCATGTCCGGCTTGCAAAGTAGTCGGCCCCCTTGATAAAGCGCACGACCCAGTCGCCCAGCACGAGCGGTCCATAGAAAGGCAGTGGGAACTGCGCGACGCCTGCATAAGGTCCGATCGGTAGCAGCATGAGACCGACGGGGTTCATCGCAAACGGTGCCATTGGCGTCTTGTACAAAAGGTGCTGCGCGAGCCCGTAGCCCAAATGTTTGGCTTGCTCCATCGCCACGTACGCCATCTTGGGCGACGGGTGGTTGCTCGCATCACCAAGGACATAGATGTGGTCCTTGCCCTCGAGCTGCATGGACGCATGGACCTTGATGCCTTGGGCTGCCACAAGATCCGGGTAAAGCGCGGCGAGGAGGCTCGTGTTGGGCGTCATGCCTGCGCACACGAGCTGCACGTCCGACGAGACAACTGTCCCGCCCGAGAGGGTGATGGTTTCGTGCGTGAACGAGTGCTCGGTGCGTCGAGTCGGGAGGCGCTCACCCAGCACGAGCTTCACACCGTGGGCGACTAGGCCCTCGGCCACCTTGGCCCGGAAGTGCTCCGACATGTTGGCGTTCGCAAGCAGTTGCGCGTTGCCATCGACAAGCGTGACGGTCTTGGTCGGGTACTTGACGGCGATTTCACCTGCAACTTCGCAGCCGACTGCGCCGCCGCCGACGATGAGGACGCTCTCGGCAGCAGCGATGGCATCGATGGCCGCATGCACGGACGCCGCGATGGTCTCGCGCGTGTAGACGTTCTCGGGTACCTTGATGGGCGCCGCGTAGCTGCTTCCGGTCGCAAGGATGCAATAGTCAAACGCGAGCTCCGTGGCGTCATCGGCGAGGCTGCCACCGACGTCGATGGTCCGCACAGACACGGCCGCGTCCGTCATGGACACGGCGAGACCGCGGACGAGCGTCACGTGCGACGGCAGTGCCTTGTCGAGCGGAATGAAAAGCTTGGGCACATACGACTTGTCGACGAAGGCCCGCGGCATGCCGTTGGCGTGGAACGTAAAGGTCTGCTTCTCGATGACCGTGATGCGCGCGCCGGGTGCGTAGTAGGCCAGCGACTGGGCAAACTGGATGCCGGCGTAGCCGCCGCCAACGACGACGACGCGAGGCGCGGGCGACGTCATGATACTTGTGCGTGGACGACCGTGAGCAAAGGACCAAGTGGGCCGCAAGTGCGAAGTCCGTCACCTAAGTCCGTGCAGGTGATGCGTGATCATGGCATACCGACACGCGATTGGCTACATTATAGCAAATCATAGCTGGCTATTCAAATAATTGCATTTTATTGGTTGAAATGGTAACGGTCCCGTGTCAACCCAACAATGGCGACAGATACGGTGACGGTAGCTACCGGTATGGTACTACTAGTACACACAACGACGGGCACCCTTCTTGGTCTCGTATGACTAGAGACTGTGAGCATCTCGCATGTGCCTGGGATCATGGCTGCAATGGATTCCATGTTTCTGGTACTCGCCACGATCACACGCAAGGGATGACGAGCCGCCAAGATGGCCATCATCGCTGACGAGTCCCGTCATCTTTAGATACGGGTACTCTTGAGAGACGAAAATTAGTATCCACGTGTGCTCCAATGTATAACTCGTTGGTGCTGCTAGCGAAGGTCGACATTTTGCCTTCGAGCCAACGACAAAGTCGGGTGTGCGATCAAACGAGTATGATAGTGCAAGCAACCGAGCGACCGAGACCAGCAACGCACTCTAGCGCGCCCGTCGTGGTCGTCGCCTTTTCTTGGTGTTCACGTCATCGGAAAGCGGTGTCGGCCAGCGGCTTGTGTGGGTGCGAGCTTGCTCCGTCTTTTATTTCCCGGGTCGCCTGTCGTGAAAAGATGCGGTGGGCTGTCCCGTACTAGTAGTGTGTGTGGTCTCTCGTCCCTTGTACTACATCCACGCGTGAGAGACTCTCCTCTCTTTTTAATCGTATCGTACTACAGCGCACGTCTAGTAAGTTCCTACTCTATCTTCGACATCGAGGCTGCAACTCCTTGCAGAAGCAACTTCTAATGGTCGATCGAGGATTGGTCGGCGCGAATCTTCCAGCTGCACACCGATTGGTCCAAAATGGGGCCAATCCAAGTAACGTATTCCTGCTTCTCGACAATAGCGCGTTTTCATTGGTCTATTTTTACCCAATCCAACGTGGATAACGTAAGCATCTTTGCCACGTTAGCTGTTGATGCCCACGGCCAACGGACATCATCGGACATGGCACAACACCGCTGGCCGCGATCTTGCGCAGCACGGTCGCCGCCCCACGCGCTCCTATCCCATTTCTCATTTTTCTGACGTTGACCACACATGACGACCACGGTGCCAGAGATTGTCATTGTCGGCGGCGGCTACGCGGGCATCCAGCTCGCGCAGGCCCTCGCGTCGAGCTTGCCAGCGACCATCGCGCACGTCACCGTCATTGAGCAGCAGTCTTTCTCGTTCCATGCGATTGGCGCCCCGCGCGCGCTCGTAGACAAGAGCTTTGTGCCCAAGCTCTTCATGCCGCTCGACAAGGCACTGCCAGCCCACGCGACACTGGTGCGTGGCATCGCAGAGTCCATTTCTGCCACCGACGTGGGCGTTCGTCTTATCACAGAAGACGGCGACGAGCTTAGTACGACGACACAATCGATTCGGTTCGACCACCTTGTGCTCGCCACGGGCAGCGGATACCCCGCGCCGATCAAGGTCGCCAACAACGTGTACAACCGGTCAACCATTGAGGCGTCGCTTCTCGAGACGTACGATCGCATTGCGGCAGCTTCCAGCGTCTTGATTGTCGGGGGCGGCGCCGTCGGCTGCGAGATCGCGGGCGAGATTGCAACGACGTACCCGGAAAAGACCGTCACGCTCGTCGATGGCAACAAGGAGCTCGTCTCGAACGCTGTGGTTTCCGACAAATTTCGTACACGCCTTGCGGACGGCCTCACGCAGCGCGGCGTCAAGCTCATTCTGGGCGAGCGACTGCCAGAGCGGCTCACGGCGCATTCGTATGCGACCACAACGATCACGCTCTCGGGTGGCACGCAAGTCACGTCCGACGTGCAGCTCGTGTGCGCCGGTGGCACGCTCAATACGTCGCTCATCGCGGCGCTGGACCCGTCGCTGGTGACGCCCACCGGCATCAAAGTCACACCGGCCTTCCAAGTCGACGATCCCAAGTATCAAAATATCTATGTTCTTGGCGATGCGAGCAACCACCCGTCGCCCAAGATGGCGTACATTGCCGGCGCGCAAGCCAAGTTTCTTGCCGCCGGGCTTGTTAAGAAGATCAAAAACGGCACGCCCTTGCCGCCGTTCTCGGCCGGCTCGACCCAAGGCCTTTTGATTCCAATTGGCCGAGACGGCGGCGTCGCGCAGCTTCCACTCTTTGGCGGCGCTTTGCCGGCGACTGGCTCGTGCGCATGATCAAGAGCAAGGATTACTTTGCAGCCAAGACGTGGGCCACGTGGAACGCAGCGCTGCCGCAGTAATTGGACGACCTTGTATCACAATGAATGGATATCTACAGTGTACATCTTTTGAATTGTTTGGTGAGTGGTATCGGTGCAAGCAACAATTCGTGCCAAGGTTGTAGCGACACGAGATCAAAGTGTTTCTACAAGCAAGGGCAATGCAGCGTCCTCATGGATACTGGCGTCTCTTTAGCCACGGTTTTATGCAATGATCGGCCATGTCGTGACGTGTCAGCATGTCCGCGCTCCAACACACTATTTCCGTGATTCAACCAACACCAAATCCTCCGTACGACGCTGCGCCAATGAATGTGCCCAATCAGCAATCAGCAGCAGCATGGACGCGCTCTGGACGAACGCGGGAAGCATGCCCATTGCCGGTACGATGACACGACAATATCGTCCACGTCTATTGACAAAGGTTGACCGTATACTAGACATTGTCAAGGCCAACGTGCATCGCACGGACGTGGGCGAAGCCGGTACGCGCGCGTGGACCGACGCCCTCTTGGCGGACCTCGTCGCGCAGTGCGACCTCGTCGATAGCAGTGCGTCGCCGACGGCAATTCCCAACGAAAGCCAGCTCGGCACGCTCCTCTCGGCGGCCGGCCTCGTACGCCCGGCTATATCTTACTGCATCGAGTCTCATTCCCGCGCTAGACCATCCGGTATGTCACCGAAACGAGCGTCTTCAAGTCGTACCTCGGAGCGTTTGAAGCCGTCTTTCTGCGCGTGCTGCGGCTCACGCACTGGACCAAGCCATACTTGGGCCTCAAGGTAGGGTATGTGCAATATGGAGCATTGGATCGAGCGCGTTTGACGTGTAGATGGTGGCGCTGCGCGGCTGCACGCGTCTCATGGAGTGCTTTGAGTCGACGAGCGCGTCGTTGGCGCCAGTGCTCTTGAGTTGGACGCACACACTGCTGGTGCAATGCGCGCTCGACTCGCTCTCGACGCAGCTGCTCTTTCGCCCGACGTGCGAGCTCCTCAACGTCTTGGTGCAAACCCAGCCGTCGGCGGCGTCGACCCTCTTGACCGAGGTACTCTCTTCGTCGCTTTCAAACATTGTGAAATAGGCATGTCGTGGATCGATCCATAGGTGCTCCCCGAGATCCTCGAGCTCCACACGAGGTATGCTCGACCTATTTTTGTGAAACATCACGACAAGACATTGTGTCCATCTAGTGTCTTTGTGACATCGACCGACTACCACAACGATATTGTCGAATGGAACACGCTGGCGAACGTGGTGCTCGACCAGCTTTTCCCAGCGCTCCCGAGTGCGCGCCAGCTCATGACGGCCACCGCGTCGTCGACGCCGTCGCGTGGCCTGCCGTCGCGTGTGCCACCAGCGACGTGGAGGGCGTTTCTCGAAACGCTGCCGTCGCTCACGGACGTGGCCTCCATCGCCGCGATCCTCCCGGCCCTCTACCGCCTCGCGGTGGTCGAGTACGGCGGCGATGTCGCGAACGAGACGTTTAATCTCTTCCTCTCGCATCTCCTCGATGGGTACGGCGTCGTGTGTAGAGCGATGTTATAACCAAGGGCGTAGCTTGCGCGCCTTGCCGTGGGACCACCCGAGCCAGCTCGAGCTGGGCCATGGCCTCGTCGAGAGCGTCCGGGACCTCTTGATCGCCGGGCATTTGCAGCAGCAAGCTCTAGCGCCGGACGCGGACGTGTTTTCGACGCTCGAGGCGCTCGTGCACAAGCTTCCCGTACGCTTGTTTTTTTTCTTTTCTGGAACTATGGAGGAGTCCCACGACATGCTAGGAGCTGGCCAAAGACCGCATGTTTAAAGGCGTCAAAGCAATGTTGCCCGACCTCCGCGACGCCACGACCGAGGTACACATTGTCCATCGAATACGTAGTCCTCGTATCTCATATAAAAATGTAGGCATTTATTGCGCTCATGTATTGCATGGGACGCGATTTTTGGGACCTCCAAGCGGCGTTTGTGCGGGACGTGGCCATGAAGCTCGCGGATCCGCTTGTGTTTGGCGACGTGCTCTTTGTGCTGCGTCCGTCCAGCGACGCCAAGTACGAACCGTACGAGCGTCTCGTGTCGACGACCGTCGCGATGCTCCAGAAGGGCCTCCAGCAGCTCCATCGGTACTCCAAGGTAGTAGATGGATAGGTTGTGTGCCGCATACTAGGATTTTTTATGTGCCTGTAGCCCATGGCACAGCGGCTTCTGGGGTCGGTGGGCCACACGGTCGCGGGCGCCGGGCCGTTCATCGCGCCGTATGTCGCGGACGTGGCCGAGACGCTCGTGGACCTGTACGGCACGGGCTCGAACTCGCTTCAAGACCTTTTTGTCGTCGCGCTGACCCATTTGTATGTCGCGTCGCCGTTCACCGTATGGACAGATTGTCCTTTTCGACGACGACAAGTTGACCAATATGATGTAGGAGACTGATCTCGTGCAAGGCTATTGCGACATTCTCTCGACGTCGGTGCTGGACACCAAAGCGTCGGGCCTTGAGAGTTTGGCCATGCTCTTGGCCAAGGATGCGCCGTGGGTGGTCCGCACGCTGCCCGCACCGTTTTGGACGGCGTTCTTGGAGACGTGCACGGACGCGCTCTCGTCGTTTCCCGTGTTTGAAGAGGACGTGCCTGTGATCGTGCGTCAGCTGCAGCTCTGCACGCAATTGCTGCCGCACCAAAGCAACATGGACGCGTGGAACACTAACGTGCTCTTGCCGATGGTCGCCCATTTCCACGACGTCGTCTGCGACGAAGGGTTGATCGAGGTCCAAGACGCGTCCCAGATGCTGCTCGACGCGCTGCAACGCCGTTGATCGACAGTCTAGTACTTTTGCTATTACTCGACGACACAATTCTGTCTGTAGCGACAATATTACGGCGTTGTGTCTCGTTAAAAAAAATGGACGTTATTAAGAGTTGGCAGGCTGCCGTGTGAGCTCGGCAAGCTCGGCGCGGTACTGCTCCAGATTCGTTGCGAGCATATCTGCGTAGAGCTACTCGGACACATAACGATTTGACAGAGTCCATTGTCGTCCTACCTGCAGAGAAGGCGCGAGGGACGCAAGCGCTTGCCACATGGGCTGCAGCACGTAGCCGACGAAGTTGACTTGGACGTTGTAGCGCGTTGCCTTGGCCTCGAGGTTCTCCATAAAGGGAGCGATCGAGAGCTGCAAGCTGGCTTCTTCTTTCGCCTGGTTTTGAAACTCGTCTAAAGCGCGCTCGCCCCACTTGATGGCGAGCTTGAACGGAAGGGCTTGGGCACTGAGGTCGCAGCTGTGTACAATCGACTCCATCAAAAACGTTCTACATCGTTGTCAACCTCGGATGCGTCCGTCGAGTATTCTTGTACCGGTTCGAGTGGTCGGTCCACTGGCTACGTGGCATGTTCTCCATAACCTTGACTTGGGCAAAGTGATTCGTCATATCGGTCGCCATGATGCAGCGAATGATGTTGCGGCGCACTTGGCGGAATGCGTCCGAGGACAACTTGTCCAAAATGTTGGTGGACGGAGTGCTCAAGATGATAAACGTGACGCGGCAGTGGTGGCGCTCGAGCACCGCGTCGTCGTTGTGCGTGAGCGCAATCGAGCTCACGCACTTGACTTCAAAGTCGTTGTTGTTGCCCGGGTGGTCCACGTCTACCACAAGAAATCCATGTGATCCATATGGAAATCCTTTTTTGCATCCATACCGTGACAAAGCGCGGCAAGGAGCACCGAAAAAATATCGAGGCTTGGCAAGAGCTTGCGGGCAAAGAGCTTGATTTGCATGTGCGCTGCGTGCATGACCTGGAAGCCATGGTAAAAGTTGTGGTATGGATTTGCGCGATAGTGCTGCGCGACGCTTGCGACAAAGGCTTGGAGCTTCTCAGGCTCAATGCCGTACTGGTCCACAAATCCATACGCACGGAGGAGCGCTTGGGCCGAGACCAAGACCTCGCTAAAGCTAAACGAGAGAATGTCGAGGTCCCATGCGTCGAGCTCCGGTCGCGACGGCACGCGGACATCACGTCCAAACGCATCCGACTGCTGCGACTCGGTGGCCCCGGTCGTATTCGCGCCTGACGTACGGCGGCTGTACTTTTGAAGCAGACTGGAAATGATGCCGGCTTCGGTCACCTCGTCGCTCCCACTCGAGTGCTTGTCGCTGACCACCTACGCATATCAATGAAATCGACTTCCATATTTTATAGAGAAAGGACACCGCATATAAAAAATGCCAATAAATCAAGAAAAAGACGTGAAAAGGGAAAAGAATCCATCCACCATGAAATGCACGGCAACATGCCCGGGTAGTACCTTGTAGTAGCACACTTCCAACGACAGCTTGCCGAGCGCGTACTGGATTTCTTTGCAGAAGCGCCCCATCGTAATGCGGTCCTCGCTTGTAAACGCAATCACGTGGGATCCCTGGAGCTTATTGATGCACATGGCCACCGCAACCACCTTGGGGTTGGTCGGGGCATTTTCCTCAAACACGGGCATGCACAGCACGCTCTTGGTGCGGTACCCCGTCATCGAATCGTGCGTCGGATCAAAGAGGTTGTGCGTGTCTACAAAACAAATGCTTGATACATTGACACAAATGACAATAGTGTAGTACATGCGTCGCGCGTGCACACGGTGTCCCCGGTCGTTGCCACAAGACCCGAAATGCCCTTGTACATGGGCTGGCGCACGGTGATTTCTTCGCCATTGGTCTGGTTCGTCGACGTGATCCAGAGTTCGTTCTTGAGATGATCCACGAGCAAAAAGCCAAACCGGTCGCACTCCTACATCACGACAGAATATATTGTGTTGACCTCCAACGATAGACAAACTAGTTTATCGTACCATGATGGTCTTGCCTTGCGCCATGATGAGGTCCGTCAACCGGTGAATGTCGGTCTCGAGCGTGATAAACTCGGAGAGCGTCAAACGGATTTCAGCGAGTTTTTTGGAAATCATGACCTCGTTGTGGAGGTACGATTTGTGCAGCGAAATGCCGGCCGCCTACATTGACATTTGCATGCATGACAATCTTGGTCCCACAAACATGAACGACCTCGGCAATGTAGCTCAGAAAGAGCGTATCTTCAATCGTAAAGTCGGTGCCGTCTTGCTTGTTGATGGCCTCGACCACGGCGAGGATGTTGCCGTCCGGGTCTTTGACCGGGACGCACAAGAGCTTCTTCGTGGCAAAGCCCGTCTTGACGTCCATGTCCTTGTCAAAGCACGGATGCTTTTGTGCATCGTTGGTCGTTACCACTTGGCCTATCGACAAAATGTGCGTGGGATATGAATAAAACAGTTGTGCACGTACCGGTGCGCGCGACGAGACCGGCAATGCCACAGTCCATCGAGACGTACTGGCCCTTGGCTTCGTCGCTCGCATGAAGAATGTACAAGTCGTTCTCGCCTTGGATGCGCAAGAAGAGGCAAATGCGCTCGACATGCAAGAGCTCGTACGACACGTCCATGATTTTCTCCAGGACGCGCGCTGGGTTGCCCTCCACCGAGATGCTTCGGTTGAGTTTGAGTAAAATCTCAATGCGCGATTGGGCAGTCTGGCGCTCTTTCGATAGCTTGAGGTTCCAGACCTAAATCATATAAAATGCAACGAGATTCTACAATAGATGGAGCAGGTACAGCCGAGCCCGACATGACGCAGAGGTGTTCGAGACTAGGAAAATCATGTCAAATACGATCCAAACGTCAATTCGGGTGCTATACCGCTCCTTGTCGAGGGACGTAAACACTTGATTTTGACGGTACTCGTCGGCGTGTTGGCGCTGCGTAATGACCTGGAGGGCGCCTATCGATGATTCTCGCTCGTAAAACTATAGCTCAACATATATAGCTAAAAAACGAGGTACCCAGCACGGTGCTGTGGGCGTTGTGGATCGGAATGCACAAGAGCGAGTGTGGCGAAAAGTCGAGTTCTTCCATTTGCGCCTCAAACTGGCCCGACACTGCGACTTGCAGCGAATCCAAAAGCGTATCGGTCTACAAGAATACCATCATGTCGTCGCAGTTCTCTTCTCATATTGTACTATACCAAAAGGACGTGCCCAAACGTCGTCGAGTCGTCAATCAGCATGGACCCTTCGTCTTCGAGAAGGGGTGGTTTCTTCGTGAGTTCAAAGCTCAGCTCGTCGGTAGTGACCACATTCATCGAGTAGACAGTCATGTGTGTGCTCGTTTCGTTGACGAGCGCCAGCGAGTAGCGTCGTGCAGTTACAAGGTTGCGCGCTGCGTTAAGCGTCGAAAGCACCACATCTCGGTGCGCCGTCTGGTGCGTGATCGCGCGTGTCGCTTGCAGCAAGGCTTCCAGCTAGCACAAAAAAGCGAGTAAATTTTCAACCCAATCCGTACATCCCGACCTCGGACGTTTTCATCTTGAGCTTGTGGATCTCTTCGTCCTTCTTGGTGGTGGTTGGTGGCCGCGAATCCAACTCTTTGGCAGCTAGGATTTTTTCGTTGCGCTGCTTGTCCTTGATGACTTGCAGCGTAAGGTGCTTGAACCGGTTGGCGTTGACCCCGGTCGCGTTCGGGCTCTTGGACTGCTGCTGCATGGTCTCGACCTTGAGCTGCTGGTCCGCGAGCTGCCGCTCCAGTGTAAAAACACGGTGGTTCATTTCATCGAGCTTTTGATGCAAGACGCGCTTCTCGCTCAGTAGCGTCTTGGTGCCATCGACCACGTTCTGCAGAATGTGCTTGGGCACGACAACCGTCCCGGACGAAGCCTCTGCGTCGCCCATAAGTGCTGGAATACGCTGTGGCCAAAGCGTCGAAGAAAGGATCGAAATGTTCTCTTGTTCGGAAAACCACGCGCCAGCGTCTCCATAAAATACGTGGCAGCATCTGCATGCGACTCTCGATCTATCTTCATGGAATACTGATTGATGCATCAAAAGTCGTTGCATTCATGTTTGTAGCGTATACATCTTCTCGGCTCGCAATCACATCTACATGGCCAACTACAAGGCGACCGAGCTCGCAGCCGGGGCCGACACGGGCGCGGGTGTCGACAGGTGCTGACTGCTGCTGCTGTAGGATGCCGCCCGCGTCGAGAGAGAGCCGCGGTTGAGGCCGTTCGCAGGACTATGGAGCAATAGGTTCTTATTGAAAGTCCTTCCAACCTCGCGCCGTACCTCTCCACGGCCATCGTGAGTGCATCATAGAGCGGTTGCGCAGCAACGGGTGGGCGTTCTAGACTCTGTGCGTATGCGCTCAGGGAAAATCGAAGCAGGCCGTACCTCGGCCGCTGAGAAGGTCTGCCGCTGTGACCTCCTTGCCGTAAAACTCCAGGTTCACATCCGGTCGCGCGAGCACGACCGAACCTTCAACCGAAATACCGATAAAAAGTCCCTGCGGACTTTTGTTATCGACAATATATGCCAGAGAAAGTCATCGAGTACCTTGGAGTGCGAGTACGAGTAGCACGGTGCGATGCCACCAGGACCTACCCGCGTCATATGAGTGGTAACCACAAGGCGAGGCGACTACCGGCTTCCATCGCGCCCGCAGCAACACGTCCGAGCGGCCCGGCGGCCACCCCGAGCTCGGCACCCATGTTGACTTGGCCTTGGGCACAGAACGTATCGACGGCAGCTACCACGCATAGTATCAAGTCGATACATTGATGCATCTTGCGAGGATGATCGTACAGCGGGTGTTGAGGATGATGACAAAGTCGGTGACACCGCCACCGATTG